TGGAAAGGTCCTACCACTGGGCTTGTATTATTTTGCGATGACTAGGCGGATGCAAACATATTTAGATTAAAAAGAAAAGATGGACTCGTGAGCTTGTTGTAGTAAGCTTATTAGCGTATGTTGCTATAAACATAGCACAGGCTATTTCGCTACGGCTCAACTCGATTTTCTAATCCACTTTACAGCGTAAGCCTGAGAGAAATGTTATGGGTATTCATGGAAGAGCTACGTTTAATATCCTTGTTTATGCTCACGCTTAAACGCAATTTCACATGAATGTAGATAGCACGGCATTACTGTGAAGATGTATGCGGAGTGCGGTGCGGCATGCGGCAGACTTAACTAGCGACCTGGGAGGACGGCATTCCGCACGATCCGCGACATGAGTCGTTTAGCCAACGGGGCTTAGTACTTGAACTTTACAATAGCTCGCATTGCCTCGTTTCTTGATGGGAAAACTCCAGTAATATACAATACTTATACAGTAAGACACTCATCATTGCAATATAATGCTTCTATGTATGTGTATACTGCGGTTTAATTACCCACCAGCCTTTCACACAAGCGCATTAGTCGTTTAACTACTACTATGTTGCATTAACATGAGAAAAAAATCATGGTTATACACAAATGATGATTTGTATGGCCAAAGTACAACAAATATACTTTGAGGCAGGAATTGTAAAGTCAAGTTAAGTTCTAAGAACCAATGTAAACTTGGCACAAACATGTCGCAAGTGTCTTCAATCAGAAGTGCAGCTAAAAGACGGTCTTACTTATCTGAACAATGGTCAATGTGAACAAACAAAACAGGTTGACATTGATGCAAGTATATCTTGACAACATAACACAGTGATTCATGTATCTCGGTGAGCGATGCGAGTATGTGCAACGTAAAACGTGATGATACTCTACGGTATAGTAACAACACTCAAGTCTGGGACCAAATTATTTCTCAGAACAGCAGATTATTTTTGGAGCACCTGATTATTTCTGTGGATGTTTGTTTATTTTTGGACATATCTCAGACGTGACGTATGACAGAAAATGTTCTTTTAGCAGGAAAATGTTTAAAGAAGTCATTCCTGGAAATGTAACAGATTTATAAGCTTCGACTTCTATTTACAAAGTCGTTATACCATAGTATTAATTGTAGGCAAATTAGTTGTAACACAAGTATATATTTCAATATTTATACAAAGCTCACTGGCTAAGCTCCAAGTCTGCCAAATATTCGTGCAAACACTTTCTATCATATCTACTACGTTACACAACAGTTTGTGATCTTGATCGATTATGGTAATAAAATATGACGTAATAGATTTTTTTTGTTTGAATGTTTATGAGTACCAGTCCAGTACCAATTGGATTTGGTTCATTCAGAACCACAGGAGGTCTCGTGACTCAAGGCGGCGAAACAGATTGTTATCACAAGTAATTTGAATACATTGCCCCTGGAGCAATATGCGAATGTGGTACACTTTCACTATCCAAAACATCTAAAGTGGTTATTGCATGAGATATTTAACGTTGGGTAACGAAGTCCAGCTATTTATCTATGAAACAGCAAGTGAAACAGTATGGGACTATTACGAGGAGACGTTCATACAACATGGCACAACAAAATTAACGGAGATATAGTGCGAATTAAAGTTTCTGCATCTAAATACGTTAAGGCAGAGAGATCATTAATACAAGTGTGTTTAAAATAAAGGGCACCTGGTTTCTACCTGTTATGTTTATAAGAACTTGTCAATAGACGCACCTGCAACTGGCAACAATCAATATATCGCTGCCTTTACACAACAACAGCGCAGCATTTCAGAGCAAGCAAAAGTTTTTCGAGAATAAAGCACCCATCTTCTTGCGTCAAAAAATTCGTACTTAAAAGATAGATGCTGTATTCACGAGAAACTATAGCTTGCTTTGCTATATTATATGGCTATAAGCTTACTTCAAATTGTTGTATTCTGCAATACTGCGTTATTGTATAAAGGCAGCGATACGCTATGTCTACAAGGTAGTACCACTGGCGAACTACGTATTCAGCCAAGATCTATTTTATATACATTAAAAAATAAAAACACACAACTTGAAAGTTCATTTTATGTATATAATATATATAACGTAACTGTTCATTAACAAGATGTAATGTAAAACCTTTCCATATATCGTAAAAGTTCGCGCTTGAGTAGATATCAAAATCTAATCACGGCAAATGCATTTATCTGCATATTTCAAAGTAAATTATGCTAACGTTTTATGTAATAGTGCTTTAGTAATATGAGCTCGGATTAGGTATGTTAAATTATAACATTGACATATACGACGACGAGTAGCTGTACCCTAATGGAGTAATTTATTATGTCTAACATCTCGTGTAAAATGTTATTGTAAACGTAAGGAAATAATTACATTTAACTATCATTCAGCCCGTATGCACACTAAACGGAAATGTAGCTTTAAGTATCATAGAGCCATGATCATTTAACATAAATATTGCTGTCGGCTTTAATTTGCAATAGTTACTTTTAATCAACTGCCTAGTTCAATGACCACAATTCGTAACGCTTCAAATTCAAACGGAACTGAAAATGTTTCCGTTTTATCAAGATTAATAAACCAGTTAATTATCACTCAGAGTCGCAGGTCTGTGAGAATTTACCTCACACTGTTCTGGTTCTCTCGTGTGACATAACAGCCTTATTAGGAGACAGGTGTCATTCACGCGTGGCGTATTAACGTAACAATATTAATATAATCGCATTACTCTAAATACGTTTACATAAGTTCGTCTTTTAAATTTGGGCAGGTTGAATTCAAAGAATGCACTTTAATAGTTTAACAATGGTTTGTGAATAATACGGCCAGATCTTTGTTACAGCTGGTGTCTATTGGAATAGATCAGCCTCCTTTCACTTCGTGAGGCCAGTTTACAGAGTAAGAACTTATGGAGGAATGCTGTGGCATTTTTAGGTCAACAGTCGAAAGACAATACAAGACGGTGGAATGTATAATGCTAAGCATAGTTAAGGTTTGGGATTGCACTAATAACGCTGCAGACATTAAGTAATTTAATGACGCAATCTTAGAAGAGATGCACATTTATTTTTAAAAGTAACAAGATTCCATGATTTTGATTTTGAAATGTATTGTTACGAGGGGACAAGTCAAAGGTAATTGATAGCAGACAACTGGTTTCTTAGAAGAGTAATCAGTGTCGGCAGTCGGCGGAAGGCTACTCGCGAGTCGCACATAAAGAAATATAAATGATGATGGGATCGTTGGGTTCACGATGAAAGTGGGTAGTGTGATTGGAGGAAGGCGCCGACAGCGGGGTCAAAGTCCCACGGTGGGTAAGAACACTGTTACTTTCAAAGGTCGAGCGAAGCAGGCCGACCCAACTACTAGCTAGCGCCGGCAACTAGCACAAAAAAAACAAACAGGTAGCCGAATAAACAAGTAGCTAGTATTCTTTTCTAATTTAATTCAAATATGCGAGTAACAAAAATAACAAGCAAGTAGTAATTGAATTATGCCGACAATCTATTGTTTAACGGATTAGATTATTCTACGTAATACATAAAACCCAAATAACTACAGAGGTTAAGTTTGTGGACGTTTCAAAGTAAATGTCATCAACCTGCGTTGTTCACGGGTAATATCCTAATTAAAGATAATTTATTGACTAAAAACTGAATGGAAGAGAACAAAACAGTGATTTTTGAACGGTCACTTTTATATCTGGGCAGAAGTTAATCGTTAAGAACGGTTACACAAACCTACCCTAACTGGATTAAACAGTAATGAAATCCTCTAAGCTAGCCAATGTATGACTGAAATGTAATAGGAGCAGTAATAGTTTCTTTTACAAGCAACCTATTGCAACGATGAATACAGAAAAATAAAAAAATAACATACCGCATACCTAGAGTTAGAAAGCAAACGTTCAACAAACTCTATTATCAACTAGATTAAACGCAGACAAATTGATAGACATTACTACTCCAACGTTTACTGGTAAAATGCTAAAATTATGGCGAGACCTTGTAATAACCGAGAATTAATTTGCATTTAACAAAGTTACCTATAGACACCTATTGTAAGGTCGCCAGTAACATGCGTCATTAAAGATAAAAAGCAATGGAAGTAAAGTAAGGGCAAAAGAAATGTTTCCTTGTTACACACATTAATTAAGTTACAAAAATGGAGTTCCAAGTTTAGTTTTTACAGAAATTAATAAGAGTTAAAACCAATTTGCAGATGTCTGGCGGAACTGAAAGTAGCACCCATCTAACGCCTAAGTTGGTACTGAAATAACGAAATCAGAGATTTGGTTCATTAGCTCTGGAGGTCGACCAGCATTGCAGCCGCATCACGTTAATACATTTCTATTTTGCCAGCTAAAACTCACTCAAAAACATTTACTTTTTCTTGATGCCTTCTAATATGAAATATAATTTATATTTTCTGTTGACGTGGGAAGTCTATGGATTTACGTTACTTAATTATGGACTTAAGCACAACTATTAATCTAATAATATAGTCAGAACTTTCGAGTATTATGTAAACTATTCTATGTATTGGGTTTAGTTCTATTTTTTAATGTGGTTTATCGTCAGCTATAGTACTCTATCGTAAAGAAAGCAATATAACCACGACGATAAAAGTGCATTGTACTGCAGATTGTACGGAAATAAATACGCATAGAGATTGTCAATAATTATGGTCACGTAAAGCTACTCTAGTTAATGTTGACTTGATTCTTGATTTGAAAGCGATATGTCCAGAGTCGTTGTTTAAGAAAAAAAAACATGGTTATCCGTTTTTTAATCGAAGGAATTCTATATTTCGCTTAAACGGTTTTTTTTTTCATTTCAATTTCCAGGTGATAGAAAAATATTTGCATACAATGGCTACGTGTATTTACCCACGAGAAAAAAAAATGTTTGATACATTCGGAAACCCAATTACAAAGCAACAAAGTGTACAATACTTACAGCTCCTCTCGTTGCCGTTGTGACAACACCATTTTCATCGTGGTCGGGTGACGCGTAAGGCGGCGGGCCGTTTGGTTCACTGCGCAAGAGTCTTAGTGGTTCACGCGGGCGACGGCGGAAACGCCGTGGCCATTATCACACCTGTGTACAAACAGACGGTTGTGTTAATCTTCGTAGAAGTAAAGTCAAAATTAAGGCTAAATGTTCGGACCCTGAAAAAGATGTCTCTTTCGGCTGGTTAACGTTTGATATCAATGTTACTGTTGACAATAGACGAACAGAGTTCTTAACAATTCCGCTATACGGCTTCAAGGTGACCAAGAAAGCAACAACTCTGTCAAGAGTGTTGAACAAATCCATATATTTCTAATTTGAACAGTGCATGGTTGAAAGATTTTGCAATTATTGCAAAGACTATCTAAAAAAAATAGACAAGACTGTCATATTACATATCTAGTGCGCAAATACATGTCAAAATAAAACTAGTATAATATTCTGATATACATTTACGTGAAATTTATGTTGCCAGCTCTCACTCTATCAACGTGCCGATCGTGCGAGAGCTGGGAATGCCTCATCTCATACGTTTACGTAAGGAAAAAATCTAGGTTTATATTATGTCTATCATTGAAATTTTATCAAAAATAATAAAAGAGATGACAAAGAGTTCATCACACTTGAGATGTTTCTGAAGTCTTCTTTATGAAAGTTACTATTTAACCTTGTCAGCAAAATGACTTGAAACAAAAATACTGATAATTATTAATATCTTGTTTTGTTTTTATTCCTTTTGGCTGTCACCATTCTGTGTGCATTAATTATTCTATTTTTGTGTTGCTTTTATAAAGTATTGAATATTCATTGTAAAACAAGCTATTCTAATTAATTAATAATTCTTTTGATCATCTTCAAAATTAATATTACCGAGTTTCTATGTAAAATTCCTCCCACAAAACTTACACAATCAACTAAATGTTACAGTAAGCCACTATGAAAGTTTCCAATAAAATAATGGTAAAGTAAGATACAATAGCCCTTCCCATGGAGTTGCTTCAATACCTCAAAAGGTGAAAAAGCCAAGGCAACTGTGAGGTCAGTGTATGGTCCCACAATTAATATGAAACAAAGTGGCATTCAAGGTACACGGAATGACAAGTTGCCTAATTGTGCTCATGCACTGCAATTTGAGCAACCATTAGTAAATAAAACCTACCTGTTTCTAGTATTGAAAAATGTAAAGCCATAAACACAACTTTTAAAGAACATTATATTTTTAATTATTTTGATACTAAATCACCAAATAAATATACTACTATGATTCATTAGTATAAGATGATGGTGTGTTCAGCTGATATTTGAACAACCATAGATATAAAATATCATTAATAAAGCAGAAAGATATTAATGACCACTTAAGCTAATATTATGCCTCAAAATATGCAATTTATCTATATAAGTAAATGGGCAAGTAAGCCCATTTAAATTAAAACAAAACATGAATATTTCTTATCAAATGGTATTAAAATCCATGAAAGGCAACAACTCAATAAAAATATTTTAATACATTACAAGATCTTAAATCAATCTCTCCATATTATGACAAGATCTTAAGTTTGAACCTGGAACAAGGCAGTGTCGCTTCGTAGGTGAAATATGTAGGGTGGTAATACCCACACAGCCAGATTCTACATGTAGAACTCTATCACCAGTGATTAAAAGCATTTTTTGGGGTCTGAAGCAATGAAAAATACTATTATTGTGTTATTTCTTATTTGTGATATAATAAAATATCTTTTAATTTATTAAATCTTTTATATTATTTACAAAACATACACAACACATATTATTTTATCAGGATCATACTAATAACGAAACTTTACTTACAAATCCAATGTAATTCACAATGTGACACTCAGGGTCATATTCCAGAACTATACTCAATGCTCAAGTCAGGACTTGAGTATGATTTCAAACAGTGGAAATGCGACCCTAATGGCAAGGACTTGAGTATGATTTCTAGTGCTTTGAATCATACTCAAGTTGTGACTTGAGCATTGAGTAGAGTTCTGGAATACTGTTTATAGCAGGCAGTACAATGACATAACACAATAGTGTATTATTGAGTCATTGACAAAAAATAAGGTAAAGGCATGTCCTGTAAAAAGTTTTGGACAATTTGATTGCATCATAATAGTTTTGAATATGTATTAGTTTTTAACTAATGTATGGATGTTAAGCTCTAAACTATTAATATAATATTAGTCCAATTCTGGGTTTTCTCAAAGTGGGAAGCTTATTTGATATCTATACATATATGATAATAGGTATGTAGTATACACTGTCTGTTGTGCCCTTAATAAAATCAGAATTTAGTAAACTAAGTAAGGAGTACAGGTTTCTTATACAAAATTATGTAAAAGTACATGGAGGAGACATAAGATGGAGAATCCTAGGCCTTTTTTTATTAAAAGTTGATGTAACTATTTAGGATTTAATAAGTCAATGGCTATAAAAATTTCAGTCAATTTATCTTATAATAGTTGAAATATTTTCACAATAACTATTAATTGTGGTTCTATTTCAGCTTATTTCAGGAAGGTCTACATCTCTCTTAGCTTGATACTGTTTTTAAAATGCTGTCAACATTTCAAATAGATAATTTGTTTACAAGAATTTAAGGCAACATGCCAATTTTATTATGTCAGGGAATGTACACAAAACAGTTAAACAAACTGCAATGGCAAAAATTGATTTAATAGATGGTTTTATTTATAAGTTACTTGTTACAAATTCTTTTCAAAACCTCTTCTTACTGTTACCAAACTATAGTCATGTGTTTGGGATGTTTTGTTGTTCAGAATATTTAGTGTAACTTTTAAGGTTTCATCTCATGCGCAAATTAAAAGCATACACATGTAACTTAAGCTAATCAATATTATGGCTTCTATGTCAAGGGTAAATCCTCTATTTTGTTTAGTTGCACTAGGGAGCCATATCTAATGTAGGAATCAATTAATTGAAGGTGAATAACACTGTTCTCATCTGAGCTTTGGTGTAACAGTTTATGGAACATTATAATATTAATTATTATTTACTAGAGTGGAATGTGTAATAATTTTAACTAATTATTTGGATATTTCATAAGTCAGTAAACAAAAACTCATCATTAAGGATAATTGTCAGAAATGACATATTTTACGTCTAAATATCACTTCACTTTTTATTTTTATGGCTCCATCAATATGAGAACTGATGATTTTGCCAATGTCACAGTTGAAAGAAAAAAAAACGAAACAAAAAAAAAATTTTCGCTAAGCTCTAATAGGACATTAACCGGTGTTGGTAAGTTGGACTACGGGAGTACTCAGTTGAGAATGTAAAACAAAACAGCAAAACAATATTTATAAATATATGTTATTTAAGTGGATAAATTTACATTTACGTCTAAATATATTTTGATAAAATAAATAACTTCCATTGAAATTCATCCCTTTGTTTTCTAAAAAATGCCATACTAGAAAATGAAGTTTATCAGTGAGGGAATAAGGTTACAATACGCGTTTCACCTTAGAAATGGGGTTACTTGTATTAAAGAAATGCAAAGTATGAGTTCGCAGGAGTAAGATGTGCAAAAAATAGTAAAAAGCAGCTGTGATATTGCAGTAAAATGAGTCAGACAGAAATCAAACGTCAAACCATTTGTTACTGTCAATTTGCCTTGCCACATCAACCAAAAGCAAAAAACTAATGAATTTCCATCAGCAAAAGGACGCTAATTTTTTTCCTCTACGGTCAAATATTTAATAATAGCCAAGGTTTCTACAAAGAAGTAAATAATTTAAAAGAACGGCCATATTGAACACAACGACTTGGGTGAATTCTCTACAACATGAAATTATTAATAATCTAATGCGTACTGTATAAATCTCGTTGAACAAATACTTACAAAAGCAGGACACTTGAAAATTACACTATTTTTCAAAATAATCTATCACACACTCAATAAACACACATCACCCAAGACCCGGACAGAAAACCGTTTTCGATGCAAAGGCTCAAATTCGACTCGACTGACGACACAAGTTTCGATTTTTCCTTTCTTTTTGCAACATTATTTTATAACGCCATCTATATTCGCGTGAGGGAAGCGTCGTGAAATTTAGTCCGAAGAAAGAGACAAACTTATACAAACTGTTAGAAACTAATAGAGCAAGCTATTCACTGAAATGTCATAGACAAACAGAGATATTCCGCACGAATTATGTTTTTTTATCAATCTCTTTAAATCGGAAAGTGTACAACACTATTCAGGTATTTTATAGTGCAAATAATATAATCCACTACTTGTAACGCTTAATTGTAGCTAGTATTTCGTACTTGTTATGGACATATTAACTCGTCTACTTAGTCATCCATCATCATTAGTACGCTGAATAATTCGAAGATCAACGTTAAGGTGTAATTTTTCGGGTTTGCATTAATCTAACTTATTTGAACGTACGGTTTTATGTAAAGAACTACTATCAGTGGATTCATAAATCTTCATTTATTTATCTTCACCACCGCGCGTTTAGTTGAAAGTGCGCATGTTTGAGGCATACCATTATGACGTTTTTTCAAAAATTTTGTTATATATACTGCCGCGATCAGTAAAAAAGTCACAAGAGAAAAGTAGATATTTTTCAGTTTTATTTCTTTAAATGTTATTTTCTAGGTTTTGAGTTTTTGTCGCGCTGCGCCCTTTCAACTACTAACGGCAGCAATATTTGAATAATCATAATCATCTTATAAGCAGCCCACATTAATGTACTGCTGGATATAGGCCTTTTCTGTATTGCGGCAATTTCCATGATCCTGTGTCATCGTCATTTGCATATAACGCGATCCCGCAAGCTGCGATATCGTCAGATCATAGCCTTCTAACTCCACCATGCATATTAGTAAGATATTTCTTATCATAATTACTATATATTTAATCATAATATACTTAGGGTCGTATTCCAGAACTCTACTCAATACTCAAGTCAGGACTTGAGTATTGCAGTGAGTACTGAAAATCATACTCAAGTCCTTACCATTAGGGTCGTATTTCCAGTGCTTGAAATCATACCCAAGTCTGCTCAAATCCTGACTTGAGCATTGAGTAGAGTTGTGGAATACGACCCTTAATCATATAATATATTTCAAAGAAATTTTCAAATTATTTGATAATGCAATAAAACAGCCACTTTTCAAGACGAGTTAATTTTATAACTGAAAATTTACACAATTTTTTTGGTTTCTTAGACAAACTTGGATCAGCTAAGAACACAAACACTTATAAACTGATTTCCAAAAGTTATACACCTTTGTATGCAATTATTAATAGAACAAAATTTGTCTTCTCTTGCATAACAAGACCCTCTATATTATAAGATTTTTTTACACATTTTTGATACCGCATAGGTCAATGATCTTAATTGTTTTTAAATTATAGTTTTTACGCATGGTTTAATCTGTATTAAATTTAAAAGGATTATTTCAAACATTTTCAAAATGCATGTATGGCATTTAGGTATTAGCATCATCGAAGTTTAATTAGCACTTTGTTGTTTTTGGCGTAGTAAAGTTGGTGGTTTTTGCCGCATGTGCGTGCAATACGAATGCAATTACTGACCTTAATTAAAGTATAAAATTAATTTAAAAGTTTTTGGAGGCGCTTGCAACTTTTATTTGGATTTTCAAGATGTGTTCATAATTTTATGTGCAATGAATTTTAAAAAACCGGTAGTATTTTCTATGAATTGGCATAAAGAGAATATGTACTAAAACTGTTCACAAACCTGTTAATTCTTTCCTTTACATAATGGCATTTATTACAGTAGAAACCTGTATTATTGATATAATGGTCCGGTTCCATAGTAAAGCTGAAGATTCATCGTCGCAGCCATATTATTAGAGCAATAATAATATGTATGCTTTTTAAGTGTAGCTGTGACTGCTACTAGAAATGTAGTAAGAACAGTTACATTTTACATTATAAAGAACTGAATTAACAGATGAAGTGACTGCGATACGTACTCAAAACAAATGTCCGATTCGTGCGCCCATTTCGTAAGTTACTCGAACGATAATTTTGACGCCCAGAAAAAATAGATTGCAATTTACTCTAACGAATTTGAACAAGCAATTTGTTTAAATAAATTGTAGATAGGTAGAATTATTTAGTAGTTCTTTTTAAAATTTTGAAGTTTGTACTCATTGGAAGACGGCCGAGAGGAATCAAGTTTCATTATAAATAATGGTGTTTGCATAAGTGCTTTATTATTACCAGTGTAATCAGGCTGAAAATATAAACATTTTCATATAGAAGACACGAGCGGCCCTGAAGATGGCAGTGATTAGTGATGACCAGTGTTTTCCTTTCACCAAATGAATAGATTTTGGTTCCCATCATCTATGTTGTACTCGTCACTCCACATACGAGGCACGGATGCTGACTCTGAGGAGCGGTGTGTGCGATGGTGATAGCAAAGAAGAAAGTTAAACCATTAATGAACAGCACTATCAAGAATATGGATTACAACTGGACTTCGGGTCCGGAGCCAATGAATAACCAGGATGCGGGCGTTCCCATGGCGATATTCATACCTCATTCCAACTCTTTGCCATTTGAAGATAGACGCGTTACCCTCGAGCAGCCAGTCAAGGTAAGGCATCCCTGTTCATCCCTTAAGCTTGATTATTAAATATTCTACTTGTTTGCTAGTAACCTAGCACCTATATTTACTAGCTTATCTAACTTCTGAACTATTGTTGCTTATTAATTAAAACCTACGAAGTCATAGGTTTGTTCAAGAGCTAATTTGTGTAAAGGCTATGTGCATAAAACCCATAGCTGCAAGGGAACTAGGCTGTACACATGTTCTGAATTCATTTCACACTTATTGAGTCGATAATTGTATGTGATAAACGATGTGTATGTAGTCATTATTTCTTTATTCTCGCATACTCATTTATCTAAGTAAATGCTTAAAGTTTTTTTACAGGTATACTTGAATATACCTGTTATAAATGTAACTAAATTTGTTTTAAAAGAAAATTATTGGTGTTAATATTTTTTTTAAATATCCAACATATCCTTATCCTTTATTTGTACTTTATTATATTTGATGTGCTAAGAATTTAATTTGAAGGTATAAATAGAAACCTTAATCTCTGTAAGTGAGAGGGGAAAGAACCTTAAATGCCAAATAGTAATCTTTACTCCAGGTGTTATAGAGAATGAGGCTCTTAATAAAGCATTTAAAATCAGTCATGTTAAGTAAAAACAATTTATGAAAGGAGTTATGTCTTTTACCATTGCATGATTTGTAGCATTCTAAAGCACAGGTTCCCAAACTTTTTGGCTCACTGCCTACTTCGGCAAGATAAAAAAATTTCAACTCCCACCACCACAAAAAAATAATTGAAAACACGTATTTTTAAAATCACAAGAAAAATAATTCCAGGGTAGTTTTTTTTTCAAATGAGGTAGCACCCCCTGGGCAGCATCATTTTGGGGGGCCCCAAATGCTTCCAAGGCCCCTGCTGCACCCCTGGACTCTTCAGCACTCACTGGGGTAGGGACCACTTTGGGGAACTTATGTTCTAAAGCAAAGTTCATAAAAGGATCTTAATTAAAAAATGTGGAATTAAGTCCTTTACCTCTCACAATAATTACAGTTGAATTAGGGCCCTTCTATTCTATTTTTAAGTTTCTGGCTTCTCTTGTAGAATTTTGCCAATGTCATGTCAGTCATGGAAGTTACACTTTAGTTTTTTAGATGTTTAATTAACTCTAAAAAGCTCTAAGAAGCTCTTTAGTCTATTCCGGCTTCTGGAACAATACAGAACAACACCATATACCATCACTGTTACAAATATTTAAATAAATGAGTTTTATGATTTATGTTTGTTAGTATTAATAAAATCAGTTATTAATTCTAAGAGGGTATTTGTAAAAACATACAACAGAAACTTGAAATTTACGGGGCGAGGAATAGAAGGTGGAAGACTGTCATAAATAGAACACATTCTGGTGGGGCAGCTGAAAGGTATGTGGTCTGGGGTGCCTTCATCCAGGCCGCATTCTAAGGAGCTATCCCGTTCTAAGTTTTGCCAGATGGACCAGGGTGCAGGCATGACCAATTCGAAGTCGGCATATTGTAGACGTAAGTCTTACTGAATCCTTTGTGGATAAAGAACCAAGGCTTTTTGGGGATAGTTGTTTGGATGTCAGCGAAATATTTGCCCTTAGTGAGTTTACTTTTGCTCCACTTTGCACTCTATGAGGAAAATATATCATTGACAGTTAAAGGCAGGAGGTCATAAGAGTAAGTCTTGTAATGAGTAAAACAACCTGTTTGGATAGCATTTTTCGCCAACATGTCTGCTGTTTCGTTACCTTGGATCCCACAGTGACCAGGTACCCACACTAACACAACTTGTAAATTGTTACGATGACAATGGTGTAAAACTTCCTTGATCTTTAGGATAGTATGGTATTTTTTTAAAAATTATGCTTTTGTTCAATTTGTGAGATTCAATATAGCTGAGGGCTTCGAGCAGGGCTGTAGATTCACCTGTGTGTGCTTGAATATGAATGTGCTTGTATACTGTCCTATAAGTTAAGTTTTAATTACAAGAAACTCTTCAGTTTCGTCATAAGAAAGTTTTAACAAACATTTTGTGATTACTTCTTTTGCTTCATGTTTAGTGAGGGGTATGATATTAAGTTTCTCATTTAACAAATTGTATAAACGACTACCTCTACAATAGAAAAATTTTTGTGCAAATGAGGTGTTGGTACTATTGTGTCCCGAACTAGTAAAAAGTCTTCGGTTGCCAGACATGGAAGGGGCTCTGAAAGGAGCAGTGATTGCGTGTTGACGAATTAAATATAAATTAGAATTAAAAATATTGGTTGAGAGCGGATAAAGCTGGCGTACTGATAGCAGATTCGCTTCTAGGTACAGTTGGGATGTAGGAAATAGTCGAGATTTGCAGAGTGTAACTTTCAGTAAACATCTCTGAGCTCGCTCCAATATAATTAAGATAGGTTAAGTCTTATAGTTAACTTTTTAGGTGGCACAAATTTTACAGTTAACTGGAAATTAATCTTATTTTATTTTGATACTGGCTTATAATGTCTTTAAAACATGAGAAAATATAATTTTATATAAATACATATATTTACAATCACTTAAAATATATTTTTCACTTGACCATTGAATATTCAATTGTAATTTATATAATTTTTTTTTTTTTCACACATAAATGGAGTGAAGTAAAAAATCAATGCATTATAGATGGTATTTCATTATTGTATTCACATGTTTTCTAATAATAGCCTGAAATAACAATTGTTGGCAAATTAATTGGATATTTAATTTAATTACCATTTGTTTATTGTTTGGGTCTTCTTGATTAGTGTAATTAAGATGAATATTTGATAGCAACTGTTTGATTTGACCTAGGAAGATTGAAGTTCAGTATTAGTACATACATTGTGTACTCGTATAGGTTTCTCTCTAAGATCAATGTGATTGAAACTATTGTGATTAGGAATAAATGGTTGGTACTTGGTGTAACAGGCTGGTGTTCTCAACCTGGATGTTGAGTCCAAGTGCTTATTTTGCATGTGGAGATAAACGGTTATTATTATTAACTCTCTAATCAGTACTTTTACTGGAGTGGAATAAGGATACTCATTTAATAAAATTGTATATTAAATCATTTTATGGTAACTTATTAATTATTTACAAAAGTAAATAACTGTAATATGTTTAACTTTTTAGTACTAAGTGTTCTAAGCTTAAACAATGTTTGATTGATCAAAAACTATTATGCAATTTTGAAACTAGTATACTAAACGTCTCTTCCATAAGTCCGTGTTGGGAATTTGGATTTGCAAAACCGGGGAAAACTTTTTCTTCGATTTTTGTATTCTCGTCCTTTACGACAAAAATGCGAGGTGGCTCGAATTATGTATCCGGAAGTATATTTTGACTTCGAATACGCATTCTATTAATCTCAGTACTGAGTACTAAAAAAACTGACCTCAAAAATAATTCATCCCCTAGTTTAGATCCCACCCTTAGAGGTTGGAATATTTTCTTCAAATTTACATGGGACCACTATTGAGATACCCTCTTTCCAACAAAAAAGAATCATCAAAATTAGTTCACAAAAGAGTTATCACGTAACATACATACAAAACAAAAACATACAGTCGAATTGAGTACCTCCTCCTTTTTTAAAGTCGGTTAATACATAAACATTTGTCATAAACACTATTGAATTGTGATGTTCTAGTATGCGTCAACATTCAGCATTATTTATCTATTTTTGGTAAATTTATCTTAGAATACTGAAGATAAAAGTTATCTGAGCAAAGTATACATTATCTCCTATTTGCTCTTCAGGTATATGCTCTACAAAGAGATAAATTATATACACAACACTAGGTATGATCCTACTGGGATCGACCTTCCCCCACGCTCTATATATGTGTGTTGTTATTTTACATACTTGCCTTTCGAAGATTTGCCTTTTTATCCAAGTTACCTAACTATATTTTTCACATGTCAACATTTTTTTAATTTATTACGCTGGTTCTTATATTGTCTCCAAGTAGCTCTCACTGTACAGCATTTTAGTAGCAGTAGAGCTCCTTGTGAAAGAGCTTATCCAGGGAAGAACTGCCATCTTACTTATTTCTGCCGCCAAGCTGTTATGTGAACATTGTGCATTCCGGGTTTTGAAGGGTAAGAGTGCTGATAAAATTAAGGCACATGGGATTTATCAACTTATGTCTCAGAGTGACGACCGTTTTTATTTGTTTTCGTTTTGGTTAATTTTGCATTATTTTTGGATATGTGTTCGGACGTGGCACTAAAAAGATGACGAAACATTCACGACTTCTATGGAGCGGAAACGACAAACGAACGTGCTGTACGTTTTTGGTATAATTCCGCAATGGAAATTTTAACCTGGAAAATGTTTAAGGTAAATAATATCTAGTTGACAACCACGGAATAATTCGGAGCATGGTGTGATGTAACCACATCCATTGACCCATTTGCACCAAATCGGTAAAACAAAAACAACTTGAAAAATGGTACATAATGAATTGTAAAAACCACAACAGGAACGGCCGTAGAAGCTTGCACTGTCTTAATAAATCGACTCTGAGATCAACGATTTTAGACCGTATCATTACTTGTGAGAAAAAATGGATTTTCAATGATAATCACAAACAATCTACACAGTGGTTGAATCCTAGACAAAGGACGAAACAGTGTTCAGAAAAGAATTCATAGAAAATTGTTCATAACTGTTTGGTGGTCCAATCGAAAAAAACATACACCATAAATTCCTTACGTCTGGTATAACCATGACGGCCTTTGAAAAGAAATGTGGGCAGGAAGAGCAAGACAGGCTTGCAAAGAAGCAACCGTAGCTAGTCAACCGATCTTACTTTTTTCTTCGTGATAACGTCAGAGCGCCTACTATCGTACATACCATATCCACCTTATACAAGTTGGCTTTTCGCCACCTCTTTACTAGACCGAGCTCTGCAATGTAGATAGTTCTCTACAAAGCAAATAATTAGTTCCCGTTAACTCTCTATATAGTACAGAGAGATAGACATTTAAAGTCGCCGACATGCAGAAAATGGATGCCTTTGAAATGTGTTGCTGGGTTGCGTCGAATATTAAGAATACCATGGACAGCCCGCCGCACCAATGTTTCTATACTTGGGAAACTTAAGATAGAGAATGCACAGCGTTTGTCTTCAGTCTGCGTGCAGCGTGTGATATGTTGTCACGGTGGTCACGTTGTACTTAGAGATACTGGTGTAATGGAGCGTTTGATGGTGACAGGGAAGGTGGTAAGAAAAAGACCTAGAGGCTGGAGTCCCAAACGATGGTCAGATGAGATCTCCGAATAGCTACCTGTCAGCGGCGCAGACTCAGCGCCGTATTCCAACAGGCGACTGAGCGCCACCGATGGAGACAGATAATTATCAGGATGAAGTGGACTTAGGATCCTTAGCAGTGAAGTTAGAAAGTGATTGAAAGAAGTTCTCATGAAACAGCCGAAAATGTATTCCAAGACTTTTTGGATTTCCGTTCCCCACTTTTCTACTGCAATGGAATATATGAGTTACCAGCAAGTTACCAGGAGTATTATTTTTATAATACTCCTTTTTTATAAAACGGGCTTTTTTATACTTTATCCCCTTTGTCTATTGAACTTTATATGTGTTTAAATGGTGTATATTGCATGGGTGAGAAGTAATTCAATTTATTTTTATACTGCGTGTACAATATAATAAAAACCAACCAAGTGAGAGTAGTATTCTCGCACTGAGGGCTATGTACCTTATGTCCCTGTGACATGCAATAATTTTTTAAATATATTTTTGTCGTAAGTAAAGTTTATTTTTCTTAAGTACGGAATTGGAATGAAAATGTTTTATAATAAATAATTAGTTTTGAAATGTGTACAGAAAGCCCTTTCAAGTGACACTCTACTTTATTTTTATTCTAATGTAAGTTAAATTTACTTAACCTAGATGAACTACAGTACAGATTTTGATATCCACCAAAATGCAATGCGCCTCAATGTATTGTTAAAAGTTTTTTCAACCAAGATTATGTGAATCTCCACAAATACTGCAAACGTTGTTAAAAATAAGAGCAAATATGTTATTAAAATTTTGTAAAAGGTCTAAAATTATTCGAAGAACCCAATGTGCATACTTTGATTTATCTTGGGGATCTTCTAATGACTTGGCATTGTCATTGACCTCAGTACAAAGTGTTGTGAAATCGAAAGTAATATTACAAGCACGTCTCAATACACAATGTTATAATGGCATATAAAAGTTTAATAATACAACTCATACGCGTACATGTTTAATATTTCAATTCCATACGCGTTACTACTCACATCAAAACTCATTTGTCTATCTTGCGCCACAAGTTTAAGAGGAACCTTGACATTGAGGTGTTTTTATCAACAGCGTTATTAGAGTGACTTTGGTATAAAGTTAAAAAATTAAATTTTTGTAACAATAAGGGTTTAATGTGAAATATATTACTGGTAAAATGGTAAAATTACGTCGATTGTGGGGATGTAGCGCAATTGGTTGGTTCTGAACTTCCTGCAAAAGGGTGGTTGCGTAGTGTGTCTATGTTACTTTGTATGCAGTCCAGGCTGTCTGCGTGTGAGTACGTTGCTGAGTCACAGTGACCCATGGTGCTCGAGACGGGCAAACCACAATTGTGTATTGGCAATTAAATTTAATGAGATGAAATTGTGCTATTTCTGACTATACATCTGCTGCTAGAACGGAAACTGATTCTTATCGGTTTATGCTTTGGGCAGGATTATTTATTGTTATTGTTTAATAATAATAATAAACTAAGGATGTATGTGATATGCACTAAATGTTTTGATTAAATAAAAATGCAATACTTATGCGGTCGGTTTCAATACTCTGAGCCTTCAGTAGCGAGTTCATATTTTGGTTTGCATGTTTTATGTTCTTTAATCGTGGTTGCCTTGACATTTAATGTGTTAGTTACGTTTAGATGGGTGCAACATACAAAAGAAGCAATTTGTATTTATTTGGAAAGAAATGGGTACGTAGACGATTGTTGACTTTTATGGAAGCGTAAGAGATTATTGGCGTTTAACGTCAATCCATCCGTGATAATGCATTCTGTCACATGAAAATGAGACGTGGTAATCCATCACGAAACTTGCGTGCGTCTGAGTAATTATATACTCGAAGTATATGAAGTGTGAAGTAAGCGGTAAAAACAAGATTGGAATTAATAACAATGAGGAATTACGTCTGTTTACATACTTAGTTAGGTAATGTGCTCTTTAAACGCGATTTGTAACCCATATAACGAGAAATCTCGTAACTGCTCCGTATCTTTTTCTTTCTATGTAGTTCTAAAAAGTCGTGTCACTAATTATATGCTATCTACTAGTTCACATCTAGAACGTACCATTGAGGCCTAATATTTTCTTCAACATAAACATGTGATGATTATATTAGACATAAGGATCGAACAGTTTGCATATACTTGCTAAGTTTCTGCGTATAATTTTTGAAAATTTTTGCCTTTTATCACGTTAAGTGTGCATGGAACATCTTGGAGCTAAAGTTTGTTTTTATTCCATTTTTGCCTTGATCTTTTCAGTCTAGTTAGTTGTCTGTGTTTTTAATTTTACTCTTTACTGTAAAATAGCTTTTTTATTGTTTTATAACGATGAGTAATGTTTTTATTCAACGTTTCAGATCGGCCGTAACGTATACCGAGCAACTCCGAGCCCAACGAACACTATCTTCGAATGTCGAGTACTCTCACGACACCATGCCACATTGTATTATGAAAAAGGGCACTTTTATCTTGTTGTAAGTATATTTGTTTACTTTTTAGACACAATATATCTTAACGAGAGCAACAGAGGTCCACAAGAGGAATTATTAGAATAAATGATACGGAAATGTCCCATACGTATTTTATAGAATCAGCTTTGATACAGAGCAACATCAAAGATAAATTTGGTAAGACAAGTTGCCTATAGCTCTATTGAAATATGTTTGTCGTCGAATGTTTTTGTTAGCACACGGAATTAATTGACTTTTACAGGTTGTAATCAATTGGGTGTTATTAAAATATCGTGTTTTTCGTTTGCCTAATGGTCGTCCGTACAGAAAATTAGGTCTCATTTTTATTTTTAAAATAGCGTCTACCTACGTCTGGGTATTTTCGAAAAGTTACAAGAGCGAAATCGGAACAGATATTTTTAAAAGGCATTAAAAGTCGGCATCGTGAACTGAAGTGCTTCAGTGCGTACCTTACAAGTGTATATTATGAATATTGTAATGAAATCTGGTAGTCTTCATAGTATACAATTGACTTCAGTTCCGTCTACAAGCCAGAAAATATAAATAATCTTAAGATAAGCGACGAAGGTTTCCTCTCATTTCCTAATTTAGTTTCTTTACGTTTTATTATTTACTAAAGTTTATAATTAGAAAACAAGTCTATATTTAGTCGAATAAGAAAGTTGCATATTAAACATCGTACTAATACCTTTTCTGCACAAGTTTGTTAATGTTTTCAATTGTAGGAGAAAGACTTTGTAAACATGTACTTAATGTTTTAACTGGCAAGTGTCTATAGAACATTTTGTACGTCTCTTCAAGACAAGTTAATAGTTCTTGAGCCTATTGCAAGTGGGTACTAAGTATAGTGCATATCTTAAGTGTAGGTAGATGCCGATGTTGCTATCGTATTGTTTGACAGCTTATCAATTTAACGGTTCCTTTGTCTTGGTCCATGACCTTAGTTCTTGCTCACTACTTGATTGTTGTTCGATAGTGTCCGTTGTTCATAAACGACACATACTAATCTCTCTTTCATCTATAGACACTTCACCATTTAAAAGTATGTGTGTTAAAATTTGCTGGCCCATAAACGTTCGGTTAATTGTGTCTAACGAGATTTCTGAATTAAAATAAAATGACAAGAACGTCGTGACCGAAAATCAGAAATGTACAATCAGATCAAACCTGCCATTTTCCTACAAGAGAGACTAGCAGTTTATGGCACGTTACGCCATTTAGCCGATCCATGTCATCCTACATGTAATTGTTACGTTACCTTGAGTTTATTGGCTGGTAAATGGGCGACGTTAACCGGCTCTCACCGTTTCCACCCACAGCCGATTTCACGAGCTCCGCAACTCCGTTGTCTTCATGTTAATTCGCAAAGACGAGTGTGTCTCCAGTTAAAGCTTGTTTATAATCGCTGATTTGTTCGAGGAAGGTTACCTTTTGTTGTCGTCATAGTGACGTTGCTTAAACGTGACATTGTCTCTTTGATGCTATGATAGTTTCTTCCTTATATCTTATGTTTACTTATTTGTTTTATGCTTATTATTAATAAGACATGTATCCTATTTGTGTATTCAATAAACCTCCAATTTGTGTTTGTGTCTCTCAGTACGCACACTTACTTATATGTAGATATAATGTTACAAAAGGGAACAACTAATAGTTGCATTTCTTTACAGTATGTAGCATTAGAGCATGCGTGGCTTAAAATTTAAACAATCTTTAAAAAAAATATTTTTGCACCTTAACAAAGCATATTTTTTGAAAAAAAAGTCGATTTTTCCAATAGGTACAAGGTCCTGAGTTGTAACTCGTTTTATACTTGTTACTTATAATATGAACGATAATTAATACGTCATGCGCTTGTCGGCAAGTGCTGCAAAAATAAACTGTTTTTTTTTTATTTAAATTGTGTACGTATTCAACATACTAATGTCTGTTAACGGATATGATTGTACGACACTGTTATACCACTGACCTTATTATACACAATTGATCAGTTGTCAAATGTTAAATTTTATATTTTAACTTGTATTTATGTTACTTGTTGAAATACTTATGATTTGTTTTAATATCTAACATTATTTTTTATATGTGCCACACAACCACATCTATTGCCAAAAAAATTGCAAAAAGGAAAAACAAATATCTGCCTCCGTGGCCGAACGGCACAATATAAACCGTTAGGCCACAGAGGTCGTCAAATTATTTATAAAGGTAACTCTTAAATATTTGCCAATTATTTCTGCTGAAGTATGGCTGAAGTGACAAACGTGTGCACCTTGTTTACTATAAAATCTTGTGTGTTTTAAGCAGATGTCAACTTCTAGTAATTTCATACGTCCCCAATTCCAATACAGGTATTGCTAAGCCGGATAAAAGCAACAACAGTAAATTAAAGCAATATTATCGGCCACACGGGCATCATTTAACATCTGACTCAGTGTCTGGTCCAGCCGTTATGTAAATTGATAGAAACAGGCTCAATTCTTGTTCGCATCGTGGCATGAATGTAGATATAATGTCACTGGTCTCGTAATATTTTATTTCAACTTGCAATAAAGTTATAAAATTCTGTAGTAATTCTGTAGTACTCTACTACTACATTATATCTGCTATTACTGGGCTTGTATGACCCATATAATGTTAAGCCATAGCGCATTTCGCCCCTCGTGTGGACATTGTCATGTGATTGGTTAGTTGAGAACTTACATTATAATTCTTTAATATCCGTAAATAAATTCGATTGAGTGTGTTTTATGTACCGAAACTAGATGGCTGTGAACTTGTCATAGTGGTTTCATAATCACGTGTTTTTGAGTATAGAGGGAAATTATTCTTAACTTTGTACCACACTGAGACATAAAGAGCAGATTTTTCGTCTATAGTAATGTGTACGTTTAATTAAACAAACTTTATATTACTTTAAACAAATGCAAAACCGAAGAAATATCAGAAAAAAATATCACAGAAAGGGAAAGCAAACACTTGTTTACAAACAATTATGTTTACAAATATTATTGTTACGACATATCGCGTTACATCGGTGCTTGTTTGTTTACAGGACAATCAGAGCAGCAATGGCACGTTCATTAATAACAACCGGTGCTCGTTATCGAAGGAACAGGAGCCGCATGAGGTATACTCTGGCGATATCGTCCAGTTTGGAATACCAGTCGTTGAGAATACCGGCAATTCAGAAAAGGTAAATTAAAAAAAAGGTTCTGTACATAAAGTAGATGATTAAACAATAATTCGCAGGTAAAGTTACCTGCCACTAAATGATGTAGGTAACGAAGCAATTCGAGGCACCATTAAAAAAATGTATATATTTTAAAGCAATTCGAGGTGCAGTTAAAATGTTATATTTTAATAGTACCTCAAATTGCTCCATTACATTACCTACCACTAGACTTGTGCCTGATCGGTCCTTAGAGCGATCCTAGTTAGTTCAATCGGTCTACTAAACTATACTCTAGCCAAATTCGATGTACAATAAATGTCAACAAACAAAAACGTATGATTTTTAGGGTTTTCATCTCAGACTCTTTCACAGTTACTATACAATTTCAATAATTTCCTACGAAATTCAACTAGATTGTGGATAATACTAAATCTTGAAGCCATGTTTGTAATGAATATTATTCAACAGAAGTTTCAAATCACCTAAAAATGACCAGTAATTAATTATTTGTAAAACTGTGTCATCCCTAGTGACTTTTTGATTTGAAGTGAGAGATTGCAAACATTCGAGTTCTAGTGGTAATTCAAGTTCAGAATCGGAAATAGATGCTGGATGATTTTAAATGTGGTAAATTAATATCAAATAAAATCTTACAATTTTGTTTCCTTTCATCTACCATTACCTACCAGCAGTAAATATTAATAGGACGCAAAGACTTATTTTTATTCCTAAATCATACGTATCAATAGGTATTTTGTAAATTTTATAATAATTGTCTAGGTAAGTATTACTTCTACATAACCCAATTACTTACTTACCTATTTAAATTCCAATTAAGGGAGCAGGCCGTGGGCAGAGCAAGTCTTAATAATGAGCATTGAAAAAAATGTTCTTTTCCTATGCCATCATTGGTTGCCTAGCAACGTTTTGTTATTAAACATTCTACATCGAATTTGGCTAGAGTATAGGTCGGTCTTCTAGTTCATTTAGTTCATCAAGTTCCTTAGTTCGTCTTGTCCTTGCTCGGACATAGAACGAACACTCCAAACTAGTAATTTTATTCACATGAACTACTACGGACGTATTATGAGATCAATAGTACACTGTACTAAATATTTAAAAAACAATTTGTATGGCATTGGTACTATTTGATTTTCGTTCATATTTTACAGGTTTAATTTTTTGCAAAACAAGAATTTTACTTAGAATGGCGTATTTAAAAATCAATATTCAGGTACAACTATTTCATATACTCGTACACGTAGGTTGATATTATACATACAGATAACTACCACACCTACAAAAAATAGGCACACTTACTTTTTTGCAAACCATATATACATAATGTAGATATGTATGTATTAGAGACTTAGAACAAGCTATCAACGTTCAATCGTGCATCCCACTCGAACTTGTACTAAAAGCAGTGAAAGATCGCTATTTGTCTAATCGCACCGATCCTTGTAAATAAAAGACAGATGAACTATCAACGCAGACAGTTCCTAGTTCGTAAAGAACTAAAAAGAACGATGAACTATTAAAACCGTGCAAGACGAACTAGTTCATGTCGGTCAGTTATTTAAGTTGTACGACAATAGCAAATCTCTTGTGATTGTGCTTATCGGGGAGAATTTGATTTCCAAGATACGGTATCTTGCTAGTTTGGAGGTTAGACCATCACTATTTTGTAATACTAAATTTATTTGATTAAGAAAGATTATTATTATTATTATTATTATTTTCAGTGTCGGGAATATATTCTTAATAGTTCTTAGCTCATGAACTATACAAGCCTACCACCGGATTGTATAAATGTCTCAAACAATTACACGAATCATATGGTCTCAAATTAGGGAAGTAGGAATTTAGTGTAGTATGGACATAAAACAATACAGACTATTTTATCGTACACAAATATAGAAAAACAAGGGAAAACAACTAGTAACGATATCTTTTCTAGGCCCACAGAACCATTACAGTACATTGAACCAATTTAGAATAATCCATTTTCTAGATTTTTCTTCTTTCTTAACATCATTTTCTTTAACTTCAACAATTTACAAATTGCAATTTAGATAATTATTCGTTCTGATTAAAAAATATTACTTATGTGTATGAAATGTGCATAGATTCTTACTGCATTTGTATGAATGAAATTCGAACGTTATTTTTTAATTTATTGGCTGCGCAAGATACATTGAGTGTAGAATACAAATACTTAGAACCATGGGGTATCAATTCATACAAATTAATTTTAGTAGATATTTATTTGTAGATGGCATTTAGATGAAGTAAAAAATACTAAGATTTTAGATTTTAGAATACTGAGATTTAATACTACAAAGTATTGAATCTCGGAAATTTGAGGTATGTCACACTAAATAAGAAGTAAGTATAAAATATAAAAAAGAAATGCGAAACTATTTAAACAATATTTTGGAATGTTCCATTAAAATTAATTTACAATTATAATAATTGGTGAAAACCGTAAACTGTCATTGAAAAGAGATAAATACTATTGAGAAACCTTCGATTTGTTAAATCGAAGGTTTCTCAATGGTATTTATCGATTCATTAGTTTGCAAATGATACCATTTCTTTAAATTTGTTCTCGAAACTAAGTAACGTTTTAGCATGGACTTTTACTTAAAATATTTAAAGTGCAGATTCAGCTTCTTTGCGATTTTATTATATGTTATTGTGTATATAATCAATGACTGAACAAGAGCAATAACCTTGACAAATACGTAATAGCTGCCATTTGTTGGCCTTTTCGAATATTATTACTACTCGAATCGAATATTATTTACTTTATCTATTGATCAGCGTCAAGAATCAAAATAAACGTCCGAATAACCGCTTATGCGGTTCGTAATTCCGCAGTTACGACTGCGACATTTTTTTGTTTGAGATTGGGTATCTGTACTAGTATGGTATTGTAATATTTGTGCTTTCAACAAAGTATATCAACCAGTAAGATCATTGAAACGTCTTGGACATTACTGCATTCTATATACTTTAAACTGTACACGTGATAAAACACTACCAAATTTATTTGAATTGTTTCATTCTTCTCTTTCTTTGTACAAAGTATATTATTTTGTATAAAGAAAGAGGTAAACATACGTAATTGATTCTGTTCTAATGATCAACTTTTTTATTATAGAAAATTCATATTTTTTTTATTTTATTTGGGTACCATTTGGCTTTATGTACTAGTATCTCTGGGCATAATTCGGATTTCCGAACGCACCGTAACGCAAATTTCCGTGGTTAGTAATTGTTAGATTTATCATCTATAATGATTTTAATTCAGTACTACTTATTGTTTTATTTTCCGTGTGAACTACAAAAGTATTTCCCTTTTAATAATAACATTTCCTCCTTAACAATATACCGAAGCAGGCTAACAAAAATGTAACCAAAATAAAGAGTACCAACTCTACATTATGTATGTATATACACTTCCAAATCAATTGAGCGAATCCGATCTGCGCTAACTGCACAGGGCAACTGATAGAAATCAGAAACACAAAAATTGCCGAGATATTACGAAAATAAATGTATCGTATATACAAAACCTAAACACGTTTTGGTATAACTAACACGCTGTGCTTAGCAGGTGTACATTTTCATGTAATAAAGTTCGATATACGTACAAAAATTACGTACGTACAAATTCTACAGACGTCACGTCTGCTCTTGTGATTTGCGTAAAATGCGATATGTAAATCAAGTAACATTAAATATAAGATTCATTGCTTGCAAATGGGCTGGAATGGAATGTTTCCACATTCGAATATTGATCAAAGGTCTTCACAATTAATTGTTCGTTTCAATTTTGCTGAAAGCATTATTCACGACAAATAGGTAATAATGAAAAATATGTATATACCTGTTTGCAAATTTAGTAAAATTAATAAAATGTTTTTGTAAGGAATATTTTATTAATTGCGTCATCACCATCTATCATTAGCGCACTGGTAAGCGATTCTCTATTATGTGGGCATTGACATTTCTGTGAAAAATTATTAATTTGTTTTGCGCTAGATATTTACTGTCAATGCCCATTTTCGACTTGTAAATGGCGACTCGTTGAAAATTTATACCCGTTTTAAATAATGGTTATCAAATTGTATTAGGTCTCATTTATAAATCTTATATAAATGAAATAACTTGCAGAAAAAAGATTAGATTTTTTTTAATACGAAAAATATGTTAAAGAAGACATTTTAAATATTTGTTTTTAAACATAGCACGACTTACATTTTAACTTTTTATTTTATTTAAGCCTCGTTTACACTTGCAATGTTGAGAGATTTATCAACGAAAATTGCAATACTTGTTACAGCGATAAGTCTTCCTTAACTTGCAGTTGACTCTTATAAAACTTAAGAAAAATTTTCTTAGCGTTGGAGAATTGGATGCTATGTTAAAAAAAAATGTATACAACGCATTTAATTTTTTCAAGTATTAAAAAAAACACAACTTCAATGCACCGTTTTTATCTCGCTCGTGTCGAGTGAATCTTTGTGTTACTTAGAAGTATACGTAGGGTGCACTATAAGTTTCCGGAACTGGCCACTTACATAAACAATATTTAAAAAGTAATTACAACATTTGAAAATGGAACTCTTTGGCCGTAGAATACAGTTTGTTTTATCTGATTGCCACTTGTCTTTATATTGTGGCGTCATTTTAGAAATTGGTTGTCTACATCCATGGATTTAACTCATGAAAATTTTCGTAGTTAGATTCGGGCATCTTTAGGCATAGGCATGAGTCAAATATAATCAGTACTACACAAACATTTGGGTGTGAAAAAGCTGTGCTCTCGGTGGATCCCACACAATTTGACTGAGGCTCAAAAACGGATCGCGTTACTTAGTGCAATGCCATTCTTACCAGATTCAACGAAGGAGCGGCAAATTTGGTGTGGAACATAGTAACAGGTGACGAAACATGATTTATAGTTACGAACCCAAAACAAATCAGCAGTAGCAGCAATCGAGCGTATAGGTCTTTCGAGCCGAAACCAACCAAAGTGGCGCGTAGTTTTTTAATAAAACTGGACACGTAGGGATGTAAGGGGGCACACACCATCACAGCTCTTATTGTCAACCTCACCTGCACGCGGTACATCCTGCAGTAACCGACGAGGCTCTGGCGACCGGTAGTAGGCGGTATAGCCCTTCCCCACATTGGCGCTGTCAAATCTGCTGGCTACCGACGGGCAGCAGCGTCGGTAGTACAAAGGCAGCGCCCTGCGATCTCCAACCCGCATGCCCAGCGTGGAGATTATGGGCAATAACCCCCTTCATGGACGGCACAACCAATCGAAGGCCCCCAGTTCCCGGTCGCCCCGCTATTCCTGGTCACGGTAGCGGCCATGGTACCGGCGGGGTAGGGGGTGCTAAGAATCCCCGGGCTACCGCAGGCTACCAAAAACAACTGACCCTGGCTACGTTTAACGGACGAACTCTTAGGCTTGACGAACACCTTGCACAGTTGGAAGTGGAACTGGAGAACATTACATGGCATGTTATGGGGCTGTGTGAAGTCCGAAGAGAGGGAGAGGACACCATAACCCTAGACTCGGGCCATCTACTGTACTTCCGCGAGGGTGATCAAACATCCCAAGGTGGTATAGGATTCCTCGTCAACAGAGTCCTCTCTAACAACGTTGAAGAGATCTCCAGTGTGTCGAACAGGGTAGCGTACCTGATCCTTCGGCTATCAAAAAGGTATAGCCTGAAGATCATTCAGGCCTACGCACCGACCTCGACACATTCGGATGACGATGTAGAAGATATGTACGAGGACATATCGAAAGCCTTACACAACACCACCAAGGCTCACTTCAACGTTGTTATGGGGGACTTTAACGCTAAAGTGGGATTCCCAAATCTTGACGAGTCTCGAGTCGGCCCGCATGGTTATGGAGTAAGGAATCACAGGGGGCAAACGCTAGTCAACTTCCTCGAGCACGAGGGGCTCTTCTTGATGAATTCGTTCTTCAAGAAGAAGCCTCAAAGGAAGTGGACTTGGCGAAGCCCCGACGCTGTGACTGAAAATGAGATCGATTTCATCCTGACGGACAAGAGACACATATTCAGAGATGTCTCAGTGATCAACAGGTTTAGCACCGGATCTGATCACCGACTTGTACGAGGCTCTCTGAATATCGATGTCAAACTTGAAAGAAGCCGCTTGATGAAGTCCACGCTCCGTCCTAATCCACTCCAGATCATGGCGGGCTCCGAGAAGTTCCATGAACTTCTCGAAGCGAGATTCGTCGAGCTGGAACCCACCGAGGACGTTGACGAGGCCCTACAAAGCGTGGTTGGGACGCTGAGAAGCGAGGGCATCAAATTCTGTCAATTGCAGCGTACGGGAAAGAAGTCTAAACTCTCGGATGAGACTCTGCGACTTATGACGAAAAGACGCGATGACATCCAGGCCACTTCGTCAGAGAGGTCATACCTAAACAAGCAGATTGCGAAGATGGTACGGCGTGACCTTCGGAGCTCCAATACACGCCTCATTGAGGAGGCGATAGAGCGAAACCGAGGGTCCAAAGTATTCACTCAGCAGCTTGGAAGGAGCCACCTGACGAAGCTTACAACGCACGATGGCCTAACCGTTACGTCAAAGTCGCGGATACTCGCCGAGATAGAGGACTTCTATGGCCGTTTGTACGCTGTAAATGCTCCTCGGGTCCAGCGTGACAATCACGATTTGAGAGCCACCTTGACGCGCCACTATACCGACGACCTGCCAGAAATCAGTCAAGACGAGATCGTGTTGGCTCTAAAACAGCTTAAAAATGGAAAAGCCCCCGGTGAAGACGGAGTTACTTCGGAGCTTTTGAAGTCTGGAGGAGTTCCTATTATCCAGGAACTTCGGAAGCTCTTTAACTTGGTCATTCACTGCGGGAGAACTCCACGGGCGTGGAACAGGAGTATTGTAGTTCTCTTCTTTAAAAAGGGAGATAAAACTCTACTGAAAAACTACCGACCCATCTCACTCCTGAGTCACGTCTACAAGCTGTTTTCTAGAGTCATCACGAATCGCCTCGCAAGAAGACTCGACGAGATTCAGCCACCGGAACAGGCCGGGTTTCGGGGAGGATATGGCACCATAGACCACATACACACAGTGAGGCAGATTATACAGAAGTCCGAAGAGTATAATCGGCCCCTGTGTTTAGCTTTCGTGGACTATGAGAAGGCCTTTGACTCTGTCGAAACCTGGGCTGTCCTGGAATCCTTGCAGCGGTGCCAAGTGGACTATCGTTATATACAAGTGTTGAGATGTCTTTACGATGCTGCTACCATGAGTGTCCAAGTACAGGACCAGCAGTCTGAACCTATCCAATTACGCAGAGGGGTGAGACAGGGGGATGTCATATCCCCGAAACTGTTCACCGCTGCATTGGAGGATATGTTTAAGACGCTGGACTGGAAAAGGATGGGCATTAACATAAACGGCGAGTACATCTCACACTTGCGATTTGCAGATGACATAGTCCTAATGGCAGAATCGCTGGAGGAACTGGATCAGATGCTGAACAGCCTAGCATCCGCCTCGCGGCGGATTGGTCTCGGCATGAACTTTGATAAAACCAAAGTCATGATCAATGACCACATTGATCCGAGACCCATCAGCGTCAATGGCCACCTTCTTGAAGTTGTTTCCGAATACACTTACCTCGGGCAGATTCTGCAGTTAGGTAGAAATGACTTCGAGAAGGAGGCCAGGAGGAGGATTCAGCTTGGCTGGGCAGCGTTTGGGAAGCTACGTCGAGTCTTTTCGTCGCCCATCCCGCAGAGCTTGAAAACAAAGGTTTTCAACCAGTGCGTCCTACCAGTTCTAACGTACGGAGCTGAGTCGTGGAGACTCACGATACGGCTAGTCCACCAGTTTAAAGTCGCTCAGCGAGCTATGGAACGAGCTATGCTCGGAGTTTCTCTGAAAGATAAACTCCGTAATGAGGTTATCAGACAGAGAACCAAAGTGATCGACATAGCTCTTCGGATAAGCAAGCTAAAGTGGCAGTGGGCTGGACATATCTGCCGAAGAACCGACAACCGCTGGGGTAAACGAGTTCTTGAGTGGAGACCACGACTTGGCAAACGTAGTGTGGGACGCCCTCCAGCCAGATGGAGTGACGATCTGCGGAAGATTGCTGGCAGGAAATGGATGCGTCAAGCCGAGAACAGGGCGAAATGGCGTGCATTAGGGGAGGCCTATGTCCAGCAGTGGACTGCAATAGGCTGATGATGATGATGATGATGGACACGTGGCTACTTTTGCTTTGGAGAATCGTTGTACCGTGAATAGTGATTGGTACACGACCATTTGTTTGCCGGAAGTTATTGACAAACTCCGTAAAAGTAACCGTAATCGCCGTATCATCTTGCACCACGATAATGCCAGTTCTCACACGGCCAGACAGACAAATGAATTTTCGAAGGTGAACAATGTTGACCTTATGAGCCATTCCGCGTACAGTCCCGATCTGGCATTTTGTGACTTTTATTTATTTTCAAAAATTAAGAACCAGTTACGCGGTCAACGATATTCACCACCTGAAGAGGCTGTCGAAGAGTATCAAAATATGTTTCAGAGATAGTCACGGAGGAGTGGCATAAATGTTTTCATAATAGGTTGATTCGTATGAAAAAGTGCATTAACGCTAACGGAGAATATTTTGAGAAACTATAAATTCGTTTCTGACCATGTATAGTATTTTTTTCTTATTCATTCCGGAAACTTATAGTGCGCCTCACGTACGCTACAGTATCTATCACATAATAATATTTAACTATGTACTACAAACTAATATTAATGTTAATTTAATAATATAACTTCAACCACACGCAAAATAGGCGCTTTGTCGTCGAGTTGCGGATACCAGCCCGTTGCACCAAGTACCAAGTACCAAGTAATATAACTTCAAAATAAAATTATTTATGTTAAATTTCCCTAATAAAAATAGTATAAATCCAGTGTAATTAGAAAGTTTGGAAATATAAATTAAACTTTGTTATTGAAGGTCGACAACTTTTTTAGCTTGCTGATCCAGGAGTGTATGGAACTTGGGTATAGTTCTTTAGTCCGCTACGGCTTGTTACTTATACTTATATTTACCATGGAATCAGTTTGTCATGTATGAGTTTCGATTCTCTTTAATTAATGTCTTTCTTAAGCCGGGTACTCACTAGCGAGTTGTAATCGTAACCGTTGCATGTTGTGTTACCAAAAATCATAGTGTATTTGTACGTGGTTCGCGAGTGAAACGCGTGCGATTCGCAATGAGCTGACGATAACCACTTGGTTACCTGTAGATTCTTTCACGTTACAACTACAAGTTGGTAATTAGTACCCGGCTTTACGTATTTATTTGGCATTTCGACTATGATTCAAACATTTTGACAGCATAATTTGTCTGTTTTCCAGAACACATTTCCGCCAGTGGTGGCGTTACTCAAGTTGTACCACCCGGACGGAAAGGAGGCGAAGCTGTCCTTTAACCCCACAATGACCACGCCGTTGCATCTCAAGGAACTCTACCAGCTTAACAACTATGTTCAGGTCAGTTGAAAAGGACAATGTTGTCTAATAATCTCGTAGTTTGGTTGATCGCTTTTGTTATATATGGATTCTCGCCATACTTCTGAATTCAAACCCCCTAAGACCCAGCAAACTTCAGTGGGAAAAACGCTAAACGCCCAATGTACATTAAAACGTACTAGATTTGTATAACTGAAAGAGAAGCCAAGAGGCTTATAGGTGACTCGGATGTAGTAGACGCGACACTGCAGAGCCTTGAACGCTGCCGTAAACTTGCCTGCTTATCGGTATTCTGCAGAATATATCACGAAGAGTGTGCGATGAAATGGCACGATTTAATTCCGTCATCATCGTCTTCTTCGGGGGACAAGACGTATACTGGGGTTCCACCCCTATGTGGTGGATGTACCAAGGATTCGCTCGAAGCGTTTCGCTTCCACATTTGTATGGCGAATGGATGTAGTGTGTAATTCCCTGCCTGTAGACTTATTCCCTGAACGCTATAACTTGTGCCTTTTCAAGGCGAGAGTGCATAGGTATTATTTACATTTTGATATACACGGGGTTTAAGGAGTTTAAAGTTCAATTATCTTCTACCATATACGAACATTGATGTCATAATTCAGTATTAGCGCTATGTATACTGCTCTCGGAACAAAGAAAGGCACAAGCAGCACATACAAAACTCGGATATAATGAGTTTTTAAAAAATTCCAGAAGTTTTCTGATAAAAAGAACATTTAAAATATACTTTTCTTTAAGAAGTTTATTTCTGCTAATACGACACTTTTTATACAGAAATTTTCATTGTATTGTATTTAATTAGAGTTTAAAAAAATTCGTAATTTGCTCTTTTAACGTAGTAGAAAATAAATCGTATATGTGACTGCAAATACTTGACTTCAATGATCTTTACATCGACGATATTCATTGCTTGACTTATAATAAAGTTATATAACAAGTATTGTACACAATAATTTATGGTAACTGAACTGCTTATAATTATAAGGGCACAATTCCGTACACTACTAAGAAAAATCCTTGTTTGAAAGCTCTAAACTAGTACATCTATTCAAATGAACTATTAGATCAATACACACTTACTAAATATTTAAAATACAATTATGTATGGAACTACTATTATTAATTTAATGATTAACCTGACAAATACAACTGCGTCATTGAGTGTTACGTATTAGGCATTCGCGACTTAAACGGGCTCCTAACGTTAAGTCATGCATATCATTCGAATTTGTGTAAAAGTAGAAAAAAATCATTAATTGTCCTGTTCGCACCGTTCCTATGGAACTAAAATACAGGTGAACTATTAAAATCGCCTTACGTCTATGGCTCTGCAACGCAGACAGTTCCTAGTTCCTACCGAAAAGGCCCGTGAACTATAATCGTGCGAGAGGAACTAATTCGTTTCGGTCAGTGACGGGAATTCATTCTTAACAGTTCATGGTTCATGAACTACTCAAACTTAATTGGAAGTATAATAAGAAGTACAGAAGTCATACCGTGGTAAGATAATCATCGTTCAGAGTGCTATTTTTTAGCACCAACCAACCTCAAAAGTCTTTCATCCCCGAGTTTGCCACTTTGTTAGCAGCCTTAGCGGTGGAATATTTTCTTGAAATTAAAATGGAACCACTACAGAGGTACCCTCGTTTCAACAAAAAGAATCACCGAAATCGGTTCACAAATACTGCCGGAGTTATCGCGTAAAATACATACAAAAACCTCCTGAGATGAAGATGATGAAGTCGGTTAAAAACAGTAACTGCTCATAATCGCTTAGTGAACCATAAAAGTCTTAAACGTTTTGTTTCAGAGATGATATTTTTTGTGATAATGTGTAATGTTTTTTACTTCAGGTTGTACGATAGACAAATTTAGTCACACACTCCTTTGAAATATTTACAGGAAGCAATCCAAAGAGAAGCAGCGCTAGAAGCCAGACTACGTACTTTACGTGAATGTGTTGAACGCACACGATCTGAAGCGCGTGCGAGCTGGGAATTGTTCGTCGGAGAGCAGCGACTGCTCATGCGAGTGCACACGCTTGAGACTATGCTCTCGATGGGTAAACAGCCAGACGCACAACACCTCGCGCAACTACTTAACGACAAGAGGAACTATCAGGTATGTTTTGATATGTTGACAGTTATTTATTTAATAGTTTTTATAAGTGAAACTTATGCGAGCCACGATGTGCTAATGCTATTTAGTTATTTATTAGTCTCAATCCTTCATATTAAGCGCTCCAAAATTTAGAGAAAGCCATTAAAATATTTCTATATTTGCTAAAATATTTCTATATTTGTTTAATAACAAGAGGTCCGTTCAGAGTTTGGAATAATCAAGAATCAGAATTTGGTATAATTCTATACTTATTACAAATTTCGATGTAATAAATCTTTTTTAGGCTTAAAAGTGGCAATTCCACACAAAACCCACCTTGCGATTCTGTTGATTCTCACTACTAAGGATGCACATTTGATTTGATTTTTATGAAGATCGATGCAAGTGCATACGATCTAACGATTTTTTGTATCGATTTATTTCAATGAGATTTTAAAGCGAATCTATTTAATAGAAACGCAAATAGAATCGTCTAGATCAGAAACTGAATGATATAATATCATGCAATTAGAAGAAAACTCAGTTTACAACAATTATTTAGTTGTACAACAACACATGAAATTGTTTATTACATTTTGTAATAATATCATGCAATTTGAAGAAAACAGTTTACAACAATTATTTAGTTGTATATAGTTTTTGCCCTCGATTTTGGGCGTTTAACCCGATTAAAACCCGGCGTTAACTAACCGGTAAGCATCTCTGGGTCCGTCTATATTATTTAGTCAGAAATGAATAAATAGTGTGCCAAGATCCCTGAAATATTTCCTTATGCTTTATTATATCTATAAAAATCAAAGTGTGAAGAGTAGAACACAACGATGGTTAACGATACTGATATCGAATGCTAAATAATGCAAGAAAGATTAAAACGTGATGGCAATTTCGTGTGTTGTCGGTACTTTTACGACTTCAACCGTAGGACAGGCCCTCGTAAAATTATAACGTACACATAATCACGAACGTACCTGTTTTAAAATCATCTGATAGTATCATTGGCAATATTTTAACAGTGGAAATTAATATTTTGAAACAATTTTCACTACTTTGCTGATGGTTAACTAAAAATGATTGTAACTGTACGATTAATAAATCGTAAATATGTAGGACTAATAAGTCCTACGTATTTTAGAATCAACGTTAATATTCTTTAGATGTTGTTATTATTATTAACCTACACACTCACAACCCCGCACTAGGGAAACCCTGTATCGCGGGTGTCATGGACACACACATATGTAGACATCCACAAATTACACCCAAATTCACGAGAGAAATAAATGTAGGCCATATAAATATTTCTCCCGACTCGGGGTTTGAACCCGGGACCTCTGCGTGGCAGTCCAGCATGATAACCGTTCGGCCACGGAGGCAGTTAATTGTTCTATGTTAAATTTGTTTTATTTTTAATAAACATGACGTAGCTATACTGAGTTTGCGTGTTGGCAGGAAGTGGCGCAGGAGAGCTTGCGGGCGGCGCACGAACAGCGGCTGGCGCTGGAAGAAACGCTAGAGCGGCGCAACCGCGAAGCCTCCGCGTTGCACCAGCAGAACTGCGCGTTACGCCTCGCCGCTAACAACGCGCTCGCCGAGCTACAGGTAAAGACACCATTAAAATATGAATTGGGTATGTATTTTTAAGTAGTAGATCCAATTTTGAAAAGAATGTTTCACAAATTGTTTGAATTGGGTATCTGTTAAACCTTCTTGGTTTTTACTTTTTTAATAATAAACAGGCCTGTTTTGTAAGCATTTATTTTGTGTGATATGTTTGACGTTTTATATTTTCAAGTGTTTTCAATAAATAAATAAATTTGTTCTTTTATTAACCGACTTAAAAAAATATTAATATAATAAAATATTCCACCTCTAAGGGTGGCAAACTAAGGGATGAATGACTTTTGAGGTCGGTTTTTTTAGTACACTGTCCTGAGATTATTTATTCGTCCACTTCATGTTGTAAATTATTCGTGTATTTGACTGTATCGAATCCGGGATTTTATCTAATGCTCACAGTGATAACAACTGGTCCACCAGTCCAGTCGCCTTGATATCCTTACTAAATAGTCACATTTTGTTAAATTGTGATTGCAGAAGCTGGCAGCGCGGTGCGAGCGCAAGATGTGCGCGGCGCGGCTGGCCATCGCTGCCGCCGAGGAACGCGAGCTCACTGTGCGCAATCAACTACCGCTTGCTGTTTGTACCTTTGTTATTATTATCACTATATTACCTATCTATACAGGGTGTAAGTTTGAGGCGGGGCAGCAAGGCCAGCTACCTTAATCGTTGTAGTTACAGGAAAATGGTTCTAGAAGACTATCCATGAATTTTGAAGATATTATTATTTTGATTGGCATTCACAGATTTTGAAAAAATGGTACAATCAGTAAGATAAAAGGCAATTTTTACAAAACTTTTTTTATGCGATTCAATCCGGTCTCTGGTAAGCATCAATAGACTCTATGGGACCAACTGAGAGTAAGAGTAAGAATATAGAGTAGAGTAGTGATTTAGAGTAAGAGTACTCTAAATGTCGGAAATAGCAAAAAACTTTTTACCATACATTTTGTAGGGACCTATTTAGTAACCAGTTATTCTAGGTAGTTAAGGTAACTAACAATAAGGAAACTAACAAATTGACAACGTATTATGTATTTCAAAATAAAAACAATAACGAAAAGCAAAATAACATAAATAGTCTATGATAGTAAGTGCTCGAATTGATTGACGGGTGCATCGATTCGCTCTCTTCCGCAAAGTAGCGGCTGAAATTCTATTCAGATGGATTCTATTGAAAATTGCTGCAAGTGCGTCTTTCAATTCTTGAACACAGTTGTATTTTTTTTATATATTTAATTTTTTACATAGCCCCAAAGAAAAAATCAAGGGGCGTCAGATCAGGACTACGCGGTGGCCATTTGATAGGACCATGTGTTCCAATTAATTTGTTTCTTCGCTTGAGAACATATTGATTAAAAATCGTCTTAAAAGTGACAATTCTCCATTAACAAAACAAAACTGTTCCAATTTAAAAAAATAGTGATATGATTGAGATTTCGTTTTACTTAAGTCTTATTTGTAGAGTAGTGGCCAGCTTCGTTTCTAACAAAAACTTTTCTTTAAATGAAATTTCTTTAAATGAAAAGTTTTTGTGTGGTAAAAGATTTTTTGCGATTTCTGCCATTTCGAGTACTCTTACCGCAGTTGGTCCCATAGAGAGTTCGTAAAAATAATTTATTAATGATTTATTTACCAGTACTCTGTACAAAATGGTGAGGCGAAGATGTTAATCCTGAGTACGGACAGCAACAAGCTGACAGAGGCAAAGCGAGGTGGTACGTTAGAAGATGCAGTGCGAGCGTTGCCTGATTACATCAAATTGCTGCTGCCGCAACACCTACTAAACAAGGTACGTCAACTGGTGCTGACTTATAAATTGTTTATTCTTTGACTTTTGACGGTGTATTTCGACTTTCTGAATCATCGGGGCCTTGATTGTCTATTGTGTAAGAAAGGGTTATCCGATAAAACGTAACTTCAAATATTATCCTTATACATAAAGCATTAAGGTTTTCTTTAAATTGCTATAATAAATAATAGCTATCCGATGAGAGATAACTACAGTATCGTGAGAATGGTAGTGTCAAATAATACATTGAGATGAAATGGGTTAACAATTGTCAACTTCTGTAAACCTCAAATAACCCCGAAGCTTGGATAAAATAATACTATACAGACTATAACCATGAGCACTTAAGTATCATGTACAATACCTTGAAGTAAAATTAGCTATCTTAAACATTTAAGGTAGTTCCCCTTCATGTTCCATTGATTTTTTGCACCCTGTATACCTTATAAAATTAAATCTGGGACAGAAATCAGACACAATTGGTATTCTGTTTTGTTGTTTCAATATTGTTGTTTACTCTTAAACAAATAAATGTAAATTATTTACCAACTTATTTTTTAGGTAATCGATTAATACGTGGTTAAATTTAATATTTTAAAGAAAACGTGATTGTCCCCTTTTTTTTTAAAAAAAAATAGCAATGGAAATGGTATCTACGACCCATATTACCCGACAATCGCTGCAATATTTTATGGATGGGGCATTGAAACTCGCGTTTATTTATGGGTTAAACCATTTTCAACTATTTATTTGTCAAACGAACAATCTGCAATGCTATAATACTGTCTTTTGCCTCACGCAGCCTGCATAGATCGAAGCCGTAGATGGTTGTTAATGTTTTATACGAACAAGGACTATAGTAGTGTCTGTCGTTAAATAAGTGTTGGTTTCACAGTTATAATTATAATTGAGGCTATCAGCGCAAAACTGGTGTGTTCTATGTACTGTGTCGCTGCTTTCAGGTTGGAATAAAAGTATTATCGGCCGAGGGCAAATCTGCGAAGGAATTCGATTTGATATTAAAAAACAATAAAATCTACAATTCCGAAAGTAAAGGTAAGACTTCTAATACAGTTTGCAGTTTTCCTATTCAACTAAAATCTCCATTATATTACCAATAGATATAATTGATAATCTTGACGTAGATAAATAAATAACATAACATAGAATATAATTTTTTTATCCAACTCCGTAAGTAAGGTTATCCGTCAAATTGTAAGTTACGCCCGTTTGTGCAGCGATATGAAATATCCAGTGCCGGGCAACAACGGAAATAACTTTTTTTTTCACAAATATATACTTCTAAAACTAGAGTAACTGATGTGTAATAGCCAGTGTTGGGCGTTAATCAATTAAATTTCAATCAATAATTCAATCAGATTAAAAAATCAATTCAATTGAAATCAATTGTTTAATTGCAATTGATTTTAATTGCAATTAAATTTGCAATTAAAATCAATTCTGGCCGGTTGGGGGGCCTGTCGGGGGGCCTGTCGGGGGGTCCGTCGGGGGGCCGGTTGGGGGGCCGGTCGGGGCGCCGGTCGGGGCGCCGGTCGAGGGGCCAGTTGTTGGCCCGGTTGGGGGGCCGGTTTGGGGCACGGCTGGGGGACCGGTTGGGCGCCCAATTGGGGGCCAGGTTGGGGCCCGCTTGCCCCTTAACGCCCCTAACCGGGCAACCCAACTAGGGACCCCAACTAGGGCCCCAACCGGGGACCCCAACTGGGGCCCCAACCGAGGCCCAACCGGCCCCCCAACCGGGCCCCAAACCGGCCCCCCAACCGGGTCCCTCGACGGGGCCCCAACCGGGCCCCCAACCGGGCCCCCAACCGGGCCCCCCGACCGGCCCCCCAACCGTCCCCCCAACAGGGCCCCCAACCGGGCCCCCATAACCAACGCCCTAACTCACCCCAATATGCCCTATAAATTTATCATAATTGTCAGTTTTAATTGTTAATTGTTAATCAAAGACATTGAAAAGATTGAAAATTGATTAATTGTTAATTGTAGATATTTGCGATTAACGATTGATCAATTGTTAGTTGCGAGAACCGCAATTAACAATTGATTAATTGTTAATTGCGGTTCTCGCGACTAATAATTGATCAATCGTTAATTGCTGTTTCGCAATTGACAATTAATTAATTGTCAATCTTTAATTGCCAGAACAATTAAATTTTGCCCAACACTGGTAATAGCGAATCTAAATTCGTTGAAAATAGAAATCTATAGTTATGCCGAAATCAGGACTTGAAAGATCCATCAATACTTTTTTTTTTGTACATCTTTAGTTAGTTATAGACAAAAAGTGGGCGATATTATTTTTCACAGATTACCCTAAACATGAAACATACTTCTTTGGCATTACTTGCGCTCGAAGTACCATTCTCCCTATCTAGTATTTACCTTTCTAATATTTATATGTATTTTTTTGTTAAGTTACCATTGCAGTGTACATATTCTATTCCATTCTAAATTTATATTTGTGTTAAATTTATGGAGCAGCTTGGTCTTTTTGTAGTTTATCGTTTTATATTATGTAAATCTTGTATGTGACCGTTTGTTTTCCTGAATAAAATAAAATAAAAAATAAAATAAAATAAAAATACTGACGTCACACATGTTAGTCTTACTACATACTACATAAGAACGTTTTGCTAAAAAATTCAGAATTTGCCCACCACTAAGATTTATTTATTGTATTACTTAGGCGTTATCGAAAACTTCACATCCATATTCAATGTGTTCTTGATAATAAAATAATATTTCTAGATCCTATTGGTGTTTATTAACACAATATTGCAGAAACTTCGAACTAAGTAATTCTATTTAAATTATATTTTAAATTTTTACGTTCCTATGTGCACAGAAAACAAGCAAGAAGACGAGGGCGTAGGTGGCAGTGGCGAGGAGAAACCGTGTGAGCCCGACATATGCACTGACGATGAAAAGCAGTCCAGGCTTAAACTCGGTACGTGTATTTACGGTCCTGACACGGACTCAAATATAGACAACCTTTATGTACATGATTGATGCTGAGTTCGACGCTAGAATTTGTGGATTATGGTTAAGCCTTTGCGAGAGCCCTGTGTTTAATAGGAGTAGGCTGGTGCGTTAGTGTTGTTATTGGTACGAACCCTATTTATTATGAAATTTGATTTGTTTTACAGATTCTGGAAACGAAGAGTCGTCGTCACCACTGGATGGCGAGCTTCGGCCGGACAACAACGCCAACTCTACTTACCAAGACATCGACTCCAGGGAAGATTCACCGGTTAGTTATAAATTGAAATCCATTTTTAGTTATTAATCTTCGTTTTTACTCATTTTAATACACACTTCGTGTAGTTCACGTCCGTTGCCTGATTTACGCCCTCAAACCTTTGCAATGAAGTTAAGATGCACTTTTCATTTAAGTTCTTTTGTTGAAATCATAAAGTTTTAAGGCCATAAATCGAACATATCGACGCAGAATGTCAAAACGTACTTGATTTTTGATTAAGATCCTGGCAACATACCAAGCCAAAACGGAGAAAATAAAAGTCCTTCAGGGTACCAACCCTACATAAGTAACTTTTTAATAGATAAAAAGAACCTTGCTGCTTTTTATAACTTCATATAATGTCTTTTTAAAATATGCTAAACGGATCCATGTCATATATACTGAAGTACTGTAGATCTTTGGCGTTTTCATTACGAAAACTAGAACATGGTTCTCGTTAACTAAATAAAAAACATAATCTTTTCTATTTATTGCTATATAATATAATAGTTTCCCTATATCGTTGTCACTGCTACAGTACATCGTTTGTCTCAAATAGAGATGCGCCGAGTACAAGTTTTACCGAGTAACCGAGTACCGAATATTACTCGGTTTAACATTTGCCGAGCCGAGTACTCGGCCGAGTTACTCGGTTCATTACAACGGAACGCGATGATCCTAAAAGCCCCCGTTGCTCTAGAATTAGGCCGATATGTCAATGAAAGTTTATTGTCGCGAGAGCAAAGTCCTTTCCAACGGTGGGCAGAGCATAAAACAAAATATCCAAAACTGGCACAGTTAGCACGAGTGTTTTTATGTGCACAAGCACTGTGTATAGCGAGCGGTTATTTGCCGAAGCGGGTAATGTGTATAAAGAAAAAAGGAACAGACTATTATTACCTGAACGCGCAGAAAGCCGTGTAAATATTCCTACATCATAACTTGCCTTTGTTAAATTTTAAATAT